AACCTCGTTGGTATTGGACAGTGATGAATGCAGTCATGAATCATTTCACTTTGAAAGCATACTGTCGAAAAGGCACTGTTTTGCTTCCATTTTGTTGCCTGTTTTAATTGGATATGTTTAATTAATTATTTTAAATTAATTTTATTATCTATTTATTTTATTAAATCGATGCCTTTGTTTCTGTAGCTAAATTCTGCTACAAAATAGTTTTTTCTCCTCAATGACTTTCCCTCATGCATGACTTTTTTAGTATTATTTGTTAAGGATAATAAACATACTAATTTTAAACTAAACTTAAAAGCTTAAAATTGTTTAAAGTCATAGCAGGCAGATATACAGTATGTCTTCGCCCCTAACCTTTACATTATAAACGCTCATTATGCTCCCACAGTCATCCAAATACTGTTTGAGGTCCCTCTCCTGGAAAAGACAGAGCACAAATTAATTAGAATTAGGTGGACAAAATTAGATGAATAAAATATATGCACGTCACCCACCAAGTACTCGAAGACTAGTGTAAGGCACTTCTCTGTGTGAATGATGTCGTGGAGGGTGACAATGTTGGCATGTTTCAAGTTCTTCAGAAGAGACACTGACAGAGAGAGAAATATCATCACATCAAATCAGCATCAATTAAAACATCACAAGAAGTGATCGTTCTCTACACTTACAGCCTGGCACGGTTACTGTAGTCTACTAGGAAAATTGTGTTAAATAATCCCAAGAGCAATATACATGCATTAAGAATACTAGACCCTTGAGTACACTTGTATATCTACCAAGTCACTAAATGCTATCTAGTTAAATTTTGGTTTTAATAATGGCCAAACACAAATAAAAAATGTTCCCATAAACAAATCAGTCTCAGCTAGAAGCTGCATTGAACGGTACACTCTAAACACCAGCTTTATCTATGAGACTGAAGGCAAAACTCTCAGATTCTGCTGGTAAATATCCCAAATCAAGATTAGACGGTAAATTATTTGACATGAGCATTATGGGTGGATGAACTAAGTTGGAGTTGTTGATCTGTTGTGGAAACAGATCTTATTAAAGTCTGTGAGAAGTGACCTACAAGCCAAATACCTATGGCAAGTACTTCAGAAAGCACAAGATGAAAACTGTATGCAGGATTCTTTGATGAATGATACGGCATTCATTAGAAACTGATCCAAATTTCTAAAGACGTCTGTAAACACATTTTTAGTTATTTTCAATCTATTTAATGCATCCTAAACGCACTGTACCTTCTCGTATGGCGGTGCAAGGTGCGCCTTCTTCATACTCCAGCCTGATTTCTTTCAGAGCCACTAGATTATCCGTTAGTTTACTACGACCCTTAAACACTGTTGCATATGTGCCCTGCAAACACATACAATATGCTGTTCAATGGCATTAATGATGTGTAATGGCCTTTGCATTTATATAAAAAGACAAGCTGTCAAATTATCAGAAAAGAACTAAGACTGTCTTAACCAGTGCTGGGGTAACACATTACAAGTAATGCCAGTTACGTAAGCAGATTACTTTTTCAAGTAACTAAAACATTACTTTTTAATGTACAAGAAAATATCTGAGTTACTGTTTCCTCATTTATTGACCGCCATGATGAGAGAAATCAGGAGCTGTGTGAATGTCAACTTACTCATCTCATTTGCACAAAAACAGATTCAGTATTCCTCAAAATTAATAAAAACTGTAAAACGCAAACAGATTATTACGCAAACCGGCGATAATTAAATGTTAACACAAAACTATTTATGCATTTAATCCCATTTTATTAACCAATGACTTTCCTGCTGACCTTCAATGATCCAATTCAACCATACCAATAAGCAAAAATGTCTTTAGATAAACATAACATTTGTTTACATTTTTGTGTGTGTGTGTGTGTGTTTGAGAAGAATGCGACATTTCTTCCCTTGCATCCTATTCTTCATGCAATCTAGAATGGCAGCACAGCTGAAAGGTTTGTTTGAGCTTTTCACTTTTGGTTTGAAAGGCCTTATACATTTGCCAAAAATAGAACTTCTTTATATTAAAAATAAACAAGCAATCCCAGGCTAGATGAGAAAAAGTAATACGAAAGTAACATAATGCATTACTTTCCATAAAAATTACACAATTAGTTACTTTTTTTTAGGGAGTAATGCAATATTGTAATGCGTTACTTTTAAAAGTAACGTTCCCCAACACTGGTCTTAACACATTCTCCTAACAATATGATCAAAAGAAACAAGGCAACATAAGGATAACCCACTCCATTTACAACATTTTAAACACTACTATTCAAAGGTCAAACACTCACGCATTTAATTCATTTAATTTGAAACTGTTTCACAAACTGTGATAACATTGTCTAGTGTGCAGAGGATTTGAGATGGTCAGTATCTCACCTCTCCCACTTTGTCCAGTTTGACATACGTCTCTAATTTGCCAAATCCGATTTCTGACTGAAAGGAAAACAAATCTCAGTAATTAGCTGGAAAGAGATGTATCATCAATAGGACTTTGTTAGCAATGCGGTTTCACTGAAAGACAAGGCATATGATTTTTTGTCTATGACATAATGTAAACATTAAAAGAAAGTGTAATGAACTTTAAGAGATCTGACTTTCAGAGTTCTTTGGGTTTATGTATCGATTTATTATATTTATGTACAAGAAAGAAGGAAGGAAGGTGCATAGAATAAATTAATATAACACTATTTTTTATACTACACTATTTTTCAGCATTAAGGCCTGTTCACACCAGCATGAGATTTCGGTGCGATTTTCGCATGCGATCAATGAAAAAAAAAGGGCAGAATGAAAATGCAATTTCACTCAGAAGTACAGCAAGGACAACAGTATAATATGCTATTTGTTTATCAAGATGATAATATACCCTATTTGTATTTTTTTTTATTGATTTTCTTATTTTTTTGTTTCAGTAAATATGACTGCTATTTGTTATAATTGCCTTAATTGTCATTATTGTTCAAAATTGTTCAGAAGCATTTACATGTTTTCAGACAGCCAGTAATGTTCTGAGTGACTGTCAGTACGTTTTTCCAGGAGCTTGAATCCCTGCAGCATTCGTCTGATGCATCACAAAATATATATATATATACATCACAACAACAAATAACATCATATACATTACTATACATCTTAAGGTAGTGCAAAAATTGATGCATTGCACATGATTACACTATGAGTGTATAATCAATACTGCTCAAAAATGTCAGAACAGAAGAAATCACATATATGATTCAACCAATCTGTACATATATAACAGCAGTCCATCAGGTAGCAGCATAGGGAAGAATAACATAAATTAATCAATCAGTCCATACCTATGTATTCAACAGTCCATCAACCAGTATATCTGTATATGTCAATGTGAATTGAGCAGTCTAATAGCTTGTGGAAAGAAGCTATTTCTGAATCTGGCAGTCTTGCATCGCATACTTTGATAGCGTTTGCCAGAAGGCAGAAGGGTGAACAGTCCATTGGCAGGATGGGTGGAGTCACTGATTATTTTGGAGGCTCTACTAAGGCAGCGTGCCAGATGTAATTCCTGTATAGATGGTAGAGAGATCCTGATGATTTTCTCTGCTGTCCTTATTACTCTCTGGATAGACTTCTTGTCTGCAGCCATACAGCTACTAAACCAGACTGAGAGGCTGCTGGTCAGAATACTCTCTATTGTGCCTCTGTAAAAGGTTGTAAGGACAGGAGGGGGAAGGTTTACTCTCCTCATCAGCCTTAGGAAGTGCAAACGCTGCTGAGCCCTCTTTACCAAGGAGGTGGTATTAGTGGTCCATGACATGTCTGCAGTGATATGCACCCCCAGAAACTTGGTGATTCTGACTGACTCCACAGTACCGCCATTAATTGTAAGTGGATTATGAACGGTCTGTTTCCTCCTGAAGTCAACAGTAATCTCTTTTGTTTGTAACCGTTTATGTAGCAACTCCGGGCACCGGGCACGACCAAAACCGTGACTCTTATTAATTGGCCGGTTTTAGTAGTTTTTTAACAATGGAAAAGAGAAGACTCCTCTCCATTTAAAAAAAAAAAAAAATGGTTCATTCAAATTAAAATGTTTATCACACACAATTTTGCACCAATCATTCATCTTCGTGTGAACAGACCTTGAAATTGGTTTAACTTGTCTAATGCAAAAAAAAAAAATGTTAAGACGTTTTATGATCCACTTACAAAAAAACCAATCACTCTAAACATCCACATATAATAATCTTACCTTTAAGGTCAAAGCATTTCTTTAAATCAAAATTTAAGACCAATCAACTGCAACACCTGACACTTAATGTGGAGACACTGTATGAAAATTTAAAAAATGTATTTAAATTATTCTTATGCAAAAGAGCCCTTGATTGTACTTCTATTGTCTGTTTTTATTTGATTTTAAAGGAACCTTTGCTATTTTCCAAATTGTTAATTTTGCAACAAATGACTGACAATAATTCACTACCATTCTGAAGACCAGACCTCTATATAGTATATTTGATACAAATTGCCTGAATAATTAACACCATGATCAATCTTAATTTCATAATGGTTAAAAAAACACCTTGCCTTTCATCTGCCACTTATTTTAAACATGTATAAACAAATATATTAATTTCAATTTGTCAATACTAATATTCTTCAATCCTCAAGGTAAAATTCAAGATTATGACAATTATCATATCAAGTAATGCCCTTTAAAACAAGACAGAACAGATCTCAATATATAATACGTATAGAACTGAAATACATTCTAAACATCTGATGATGTCAAATTAATAGATCATGATAAAGAAAAACTCACAAGTGATGTTCTGCGAAATCTTCGACTTAGAGGTTTGTCAAATGGGGGGCTGTTTTTTGCAAACTTCTTCAGGTAACCTTCTGGCAAACGAATATCTGCTGGCAGCGAGAGACGTTTATTGATATCCTGAAAAGGAAATGGAAGGGTAGGAAATAAATAATGTGCCAAAGAGCAGTTGATTGGGGCAGCACTCTTGATGAATATATTTTAAAGGAATGCTGATGGAAGTGCACTTATACAACTTTATTGTGAGCACACATTAGCAAAAACTATGATCAAAGAAAGACAATGAAAGGCTGCTAACAAACAGTAGCCAATCCTGTGTGGAAGCTCTCGAGAGGGACAAACATCAGTAAATTCTGCTGTAAAGTCATTCATACAAAGAACAACACAAAAGAGTGTGAAAGTGCATTCACTAAGGAATGAAGTGTTGATTGAACTGGTTAAACTAAAATATCAGAAAACACAGGACTAAAGCTGGGCACTAACAGACAAGCTATTGATGCATAAATGTGGCCTCTGGTGGGGAAGGAGTGGGAGTTGGAAGAAGAAGTTGAGAAATACCAGCTAGATATAGTTGGCCTCACTACACACAGAGTCACGGCTCTGGAAGCAAACGCCTGGATAGGGGTTGAACTCTCTCCCATCTATGGAGTTGACCAGAGTGAGAGGTGCGAACAGGTGTGGGAATCACGAGTCTCCAACTCAACGCCATTGTTTTGGGGTTTAGCCCAATGAATGAGAGGGTTGCCTCAATATGACCCAGTGAAACAGAGGGGAAGACTCTTATGGCGCTTTTCCACTGCGTGGTACGACTCGGCTCGGTACGGCTCAGTGCGGTACGGCACGGTTCGGCTCGGCACGGTTTGCGTTTCCACTGCAGTTCAGTACCGCTTTAGAGTGGGCGGGGTTATTCACATGTCGTTATAGTTGCGCCGCCTCTACTACCACGACTCCTAAAAAAAACGTTTTCATTCCACGTCGCCCCATCAAGCTCTCGCTGGATCCGCTCCTCTGCTATCAACGAGAGGAACGTCTGTACTTCCGCAACAGACAACAAAACTTTTCTGTTGTTAAAAAAAAGGTGCGCTCGTTCCAAACAGTTGCGTTCGATCCTTTGCTGACTGTGCTGATTTAAATCTAGCGGTTCTTTTGTGTTTGTGTCGCAAGTTCAGTGACGCAGGTAGTGCCTATTCTCTCCGGCCAATCCGTGATCAGCAGAGTTTACACGTCACGTTTTGGTAACGGTACAGTTCACTTGGAACCCCAACCGAGGTGGTACTAAAAAAAGAACCAGGTACCAGGTACTGTACCCAGTGGAAAACCCTCCAAAAGTGAACCGTACCGAGCCGTACCGTGCCGTACCATGCAGTGGAAAAGCGCCATTACAGTGTTCTGTGCTTATATCTGGCCTTCTTTAAGACCATGGGTGGGGCCCTGTAAAGGGTACCACCTTGTGAATCCATAGTATTGATGGGCAACTTCAACACTAATGTTGGTGACAAAAGACGGATCTGGAGGGCAATAACTAGAAAGAACATCTTGCCTGATCGAACCTGAGTGGTGTTTCGTTGTTGGATTTTGTGCATGGCATTGGTCATAACAAACACCATGTTCGAACATATGGTGGTTCATAAGTGTGCCTGGTACAAGACACCTTAGGCTAAAGGCTGGCAATCAAAATGGGAAACCCAAACAAATCTGTGTGAACTGGGACCTTTAGCAAAAAATCCAGTCAGAAAGTCCTTTACCTCCCACCTCGAGAGGAGCTATTCTTTTATCCCAAGGAAAGCTGGAGAAATGGAGTCAGAGAGGGTACAGTCCTCTACTGCTGAAACAGCTGTTCTGTGATGTGGCTGGAGGGTGGTTGTTGATACCTGTCATGGCAGCAACTCAAGAATACGTCAGTGGACATGAACAATAAGGGAGGCCATTAAGCAGAAAAAGGAGACCTTTTGGGATTGATTAGTCTGTGGTTTCAGCAGGCTAGGAGGACTGCAGAAGCAAAAAAAACAGGTATAGGAAGAGCTCTGAGAAGCCATACTTTTGGCTGGCCTCAAAGAGGTTCTGGCAAACCATCTGATGGCTTATGCAGGGGAAGCCTGGGCTGGTCTAGGCTGTTGTAATTCAGGACAGGAACTTGCTGACCTCACCTAGCAATATATATACTGGAGGTGGA